AAAAGGTCGATCATAAAAATATCTAATATCTATGGAACCCGTATATTTATGAAAACATATAGTATATCCATAGGAAGGTAATTAAATTTGATATCTTTCACTCATTCCTCGTTCATGAAAATTACGTTTTTCTGAGATTTACAAAAAGTTTTTTTTTGTAAACATACAACAATGTTCGATTTATGTAGTTAAACATATATAAAATAACGACTTTCGAAAAACTTATTTATACCCACTTCTTATTGTAATGTAAAAAAATGTAATAAGTAAATGAAAAAAAAAAATCCCCACAAAAAAAGTTTTAAAACCTGCATTTATCACGTGTATGCACATAAAAACTATCTTTTTTTCGACTTTTGTGAATGGACCCTGCAGGGAGTGACGTTAGCTTATACCAAATTTATGGTTGTTTACGCGAGCGCTATATACTTTTGTGGGGCGCTGGCCGCAAAAAAGTCAGTCCTGGATACCTCTGCATTACACGTCAACTAACTTGAGACTTACTATTTTTGGACATAAAATGCCGAAAACAATTCAACAAAACTTTTAATTCTTTCTTTTTTAAATTTTTATTTATGTAGCTTATATTTAACATTGCATATTTGTTTATTTGTTTACATTTTATGCTGTAGATGGCCCCATATTTGAATGCCGTAATTTCGATCTTCATCATATTTGTCCAGAAATCGAAAGAGTATTTGTGAAATGTACAAAAAAGTGTATTGAAAGTAATTTTTGTATGAGGCTATTTTAAAGAAAACAAACTCGTGACTATGTCTGCATGACTGCTGAATGACTTACAACTCACTTTAAATTAGTTTTGTCATAGGTAATGAAAAGTAAGGTATTTATAGAAATTCTGCAAAAAAGATATTTACAAGTTGGTTATTTTTAACAATTGAAATAGTCACGTTGAATATCACTCTGTCGCTCAGAACTATCCCTAATTATTTACATTAAACAATTTTTATTGAGCTTGAGGCCGTTTGATATGCAAAATTATTGTGGAAAAAAAACAATAGTTCGTAAATGGTAGAAGTTATAGCTGCTATATTGGAGATCCCCACATCTCCTCATCAGACTTCTTCGCGGTCACTGAAATTCGACACAGCGACCACAGCTTACAAAACCAGTGGTCTACCCACTACGCTAAGTTCGCCTTATAAACTCTTGTTGCTTCTTACACTGGTTTAATATAATTTATTAGGCCAAAACTATAATTATTTACTTCGGAAAAGTTTAAACCGTAACTTCTTTATGCCGGATATCCACTAGGCATTAAATGGCAAAAATTACAAATGACAAAGTCGTCATTACATTAAAAAAAAATTGTCATTAAATTCATTTCCACATGGCATTTTTTTTTTAATGAAATACCGTTTTGTCATTTCAATGCCTAGTGGAAATTCGGCATTAGTTACGAGAAAAAACAAAACTAATCTATGTTCGGCTTCTGGAAAGCGCATTTTGACAAAACAGCTAAATAATTATTATAAATGTGTACGTGAAAAGACAGGCACCTTTTCCACATAACCCTGGTGGTGAATACCAAGTTTTAAGAATGTCAGAGGGATAATATATTTGTCGCTGATTTGAAAATATTTTATTCAAATCAAGTAGCTGAAAACGGTGTTTTTTCCTCCTTTTCCCGTGAGGAAAATTTGGACTTTAACTCAAAACCAGCTGACTTTTATCCGTTATAAAACTCCAGCTCTTAGCCGTTCGTATTTTATGCATTTATATATAAATCTATGTATGTATGTACACTAGGGTGGTGCAAAAATTTATGTAAAAAGTAAAGCCGAATTTTTTATGCTCTCACCCCCTAGGATTGTTCTATACCGAATAAAAATATACCCCTATTTTTTACTTTGAAATCCAAAAATATTTAGCGCTCAAAGTTTTCCATCTATCTATTTTATATGGAAAAAAACAAACTTTCGTAGAAATTGTATAGAATTCTTAAAACTCAATATTTTTCGATTGGAACCATTTTTTCATAGTCCTCCTAAACTCCGAAATATCTAAGGGGCAATGAAATTTTTTTTCCATATAAAATATTTGGAAGACTTTGAGCACCTTTGGCGACCCCTAAATATTTTTTTGATTTTCAAATAAAAAAATACTGCTATATTTACTTTTTTTGCGATGTAGAACAATCCTAGAGGGTGAGAGCATTAAAATATTGACTTTACTTTTTTTTGGGCCACCCTAATGCATACCTATTTATCTTCATCAATAGTTTAAATTTATTAGCGTAATGCGAGTAAACATTCGGATAAATGATTACCCCTATAATTTAAAACAGATTTAAAACTTTATTGAAACGTTTCATGACAATTTTATTACTGTAAAATGGACGTTTTAATTGACTTACATGAATTAATTACATATTGCAAGCTGCTCACTTTCTCATTGTAATTTAAATAAACTCGCAATGTCTCTTAGATAACAAGACAAAATGCAAAAGTAATACATATGATAATAATTACTTTTCGTTTTGTTGTTTTATATGGTTGCTTTACTCAAACCCGGGTCTTGCAACAACGTTGCGCATTCTGAGTAACGTAAGCAGCCGATGTGCGAGATGCAGTAATCAAATCCATGTGTAGCCTCGGGTTACCACAGCAATAAACTATAACAACAGGGTAAGCAAACAAGCATATTTGCTCCTACTGCCGGAAATTTCAACAATCATGAGTACAACTCCGTTAACGGAGCAGGGATTGTCGACGTCGCCACAGCACGGTAAATTGAGGTTAGTAGTAACGAAATATCAACAGGGTACTTAAATGCCCGCTGATCAAAGAACGAGGTACCTATGTATAGACGGAAAATAACCTTAAAGCATACTTGACGTAAAATGTCCATCCAAGGAGATAAACATCGAGAATCTGCAATCACGCAATTCGCGCACATTTAAATGAATTTAAATTAGTGTCGGGATTTCGTTTCCAAATCACTCCATAGCGCTACGGAAAAGTTTGTTGGTTACTACTACCACGCAGAAACTTTAGAAGAAATACGCAGTAGACTAAGCTACCCTACACAGCCATTGGTGTCGCATACGGCAATTGAGCGGTACCAATAAAAATAAGGGAAGAAAGTCTTTTCTTTGGTGAGGCAGTGCTGGCAGTCGAGAGTTCAGATCGAGAAAGGAAGTATTACTTATCTACCCTTTTGAATGGCGACAAAGGCTGCATGTTTGACGAAGAAGATTCGAGACAGATCTATTGGGACGAATCACACGTCCTTCTACTCGATCAAGACGAGGTGAGAACATCAATAATGCGGGTTAAAAGCAACAAAGCATCTGGAGCCGGTCTAATATCTGTTGAACTGTTCAAAGCGGGCTGTAAAGAGCTGATAGGTTGTACATACCAGCTGTCGAGCTTTTATTTGATTAAAACATACATACATACATACATATCTCAAGCTTGATGGATCAGTTTACTTCGCTCAATCCACAAGAAGACGGCCCTACTGTTTGCTACAATTAGCGCGAAATAAGCCCTAGTATTGCTAATAAGGTCCTATCGACGATAATGTGTGAACGACTGAAGCAATTAATGAGCTAAATGATTGGGTTCATTAGTTTAACCAGATTTGGATAGTGCGACAGATGCCGGTACGGAACCATGAAAATATAAATTTGGGATTCAAACAAAGCTAATACGGCTTTGTAGAGCGACGCTTAGCAAAACCTTTAGCTCCGTCCTAATTGAGAAAGATATCACTGGGATGTGCGAAAGCAAACGAGGTTTTAGACAAAGAAACTGTTGTGCGACTTCTTGAAACTGATGTTGGCAAGCGTAATACAAGCTGTCCACCTGAATGGCAGCGTCATCACATGCGTATAAAAATATTTATCACTATGCTGCTGTCATATACCGATGATAATGAAATCCTAGGGTTCAACAGCAAGGCTTAACGCCAGCATATACATATGTACATTAGCCAGGAATTAACTGCACTTGAACCGGATTAAGAGTTAATTCTATCTGTGGGGCTTAGAAAGGGAAGTGCCGTTTTCTCAAGTAGGTTTTAAAATTTATTTTCCCTTCAAACACATCTTTCGTGGACAAAATTTTTGTTTAACGGTTTGGTTCCTAATAAATTATTAAAGTAATAGTACATAACTTTTATTGCATCAAAATTTAACGAAACAAAGAGATTCAACTCTTGGAGCGAATTTAAGGACTGTCAGCGCTTCTCATGGAGAAACTTGTGTCAAAAAAAGGAAATCTCTTCCGAGGTCAGCAGACTAGGTAAGATACTATCAACGTGTCCTAGCAATATAAGCTACCTCAAGGAAGATGGGGATTGGACAGCTAGCGGCGAAGAAACATTAGAGCTTCTAATACAAACGCACTTTCTGGGTTGCCTCCGGAGAAAAGTAGCCAACACTCAACTCGCAGGCAACAACGATGACCTCCCAGCGAACCTTATTACTAAGGAGAACATTAAACAGCTTCCAACCGTATAAGTCTCCGGGAACAGACGGAATCATTCCCGCCGATCTACAGCATACCCGTCTTTGAGACAGAGTCACGTGTTCGCCGAAAGGTGATATGAGTTCCGGGACACTGCGACATTGAAGGAAACTGCAAGGCGGATGAACTGGCGCGACTTGGCACCAAACTCCCTATTGAGGATATAAACGATGAAATAGGAATACCCTTACAAACGTGCAAGCTACTTATCTCCGAGAGGCTCACTAAAGTAGCGAACAGCAGGTGGCATGACGAAATCACCTGTAAAGCTGTCAGGAAACTATGGACAACTACCGAGCTTAAATAAGCAGAATATCAGTTTGTTAGTATCTGTTATAACAGGACACTGTCTAACTGGTAGGCATGCCTATCAACTATGCGTCTGGCTAAATGACTTCTGTAGAAGTTGTCAAGATGAAGAAGAGGAGGAAACGATTCTGCACCTTGCTCTATCCAGACGAAGACTCTCCACAGTGGGTAGACAATTAACCTGGATGACTTTAGATGCGTTGAAATCTAGGATCTTCTAAAATTCCTCAAAATGGTTTTAAGAGGGATTGGGAGGTGACTGACCCCACATGCGGTATCACAAAGGGCCCGGAGTATAAGTGTGTCTTACAGACAACCGCGACAACCTACCTACCAACCTATGTATGTACGTATGTACTACATATACAATCTATGTATCTCGAGTCGGGCAGCACCAACGGACGAACGGACGGAGAGACATTCCTTAATCAAATTCTCTCTTCTTCGGAGCATCGTCAATTAGGGTATTGGCATTGGCGACGATCTGTATTTCAACTTGCGTTAACGAACCGGGAGTGTGCATCTTTAGAAATAGAGGGTACTTATTTCTCCTAGTGGATTGCAGATGCATTCTTTAATCGTTTTTTGGAACTCAATTCCTTTTATTGAGCCCTTTAATATAATAGCACCTTACCTTTGTCCTGAGTCAAATTTTCTGCTGGAATTACTTACGCAAACACGATTTCTATGTACAATGCGTTCTTCTTAGCGTAACGCGCGCTGATCTGGCAAATACAGCACGGGCTCCTCATCGAAAGCTACTCAACGGGTTTAAATTATTGAGTCACAGAGCCATGATGGCATCATTCTCGCTGATCTACTCAAAGCATTTAACCAACCCTTTTTATATATTACAAGTGTTTGGCCGAGTTTATCGCACCTCTTGATGTTATAAGCGCAAATTATAAAAAAAAAATATTTTTGATGAAATTTGGTGAACCCTGCTCGTTTAAGCAAAAACTTTCCAACTTAGAATCTAGCGAAGAGTTTCTTACTTTCGCGAGTTGTTAATGTCTACGCCTTCTTCCATTTCCACAGCAAATGTTATCCGATTTTGATGAAATTCAGAGTATATGCTGGTTTTGACCAGAAAGGCATGAATCTGAAAGAACGTCAATTCTAGAAAAACAAGCGTAAATTATAAAAAAAATCTTTTTGATGAAATTTGTTGTACCGAAATTTTTCAACTTGGAACATGATAAAGAGTTTCTTATTTTCGCGAGTTGTTAAGCCTACACCTTCCATTTCCACTTTATATTATACACATCACGGTCTTTTCCTTCAGCTCTACAATAAAAATTCAATAAATTCTACAAGAGGTGTGCTAAAAAAAGAAGAATAGAACCTGAACTCGCAGTTCCTCGCAGCTGGAAATATTTCAGATTAGACACTCATATTTACATAATGTTAACTTGTGCTAAGTATAATTCAACTCGCTTTCTAGGATATTTTAAAGTCCCTTTTTAAAATAAGCACTCGAAAAATTGTATACCAACAAAATTATGTAGAATTTCAAGTAAAACTGTTTTATAAATTTCACTAGGTACATATACATATATATAAAAATTTAAAGCAATGCTTGACCACAGATTTATTAAGGAACTGGTCATCAATCAGATTATTATAAATATATCCGCACAAGTAGAAAATTTTTATAAATTACTTGAGACAAAATTAAATTTCATTATTTTTTTTCATTGTATCTACTTCAAGCTCGTCCCATGACTGCAAATATGCATTTTTTTATCGAAAATTCTTTTTGGTTTGGACAGTTGGACATCATAATCATAAATTTTCATATACTTACTTACATATGTGCATATGTACAGTGGCGAAAATATAAATAGAGAAGAAACATTTTTAGCATTATTAGTATTATTTTTTATGAAAGTTTTCGTTATCTAACAAAAACCACGTAAGTCAACTTTGTGGAAAAATTAGCAAAATTGGAAATTTTACAGGACTTACCGTTGATTTTTGTATAAAGTATTGCTCGTTTTCACATTAAAAAAATTGTCCAACATACTTTGTATGGAAGAAAATGCGCGAACAAAAAATTGACAAAAATGAACGGTAGCTAGGACATGCTTCAAGCATGTACTTAATTATACTTAAATTTCAAAAAAAAATCTTATTAAAAAGTTTCAAAGGTTCAAGTTTCAAGGTTTTCATTTACATGGGTTTTTTAGATAGTAAGCTACAAATCGTCACCTGAAATGCAAAAAGACGTAACAAACATCCTCGCTGCAATACAAAAAGTCGTAACTAATAAAAAATTCAAAATTCAGTTTTTGATTGATATGATGGATTTCACCAATTAATCAATTACAACTCTCGCATCATTTAAGAATTAAATAAAAATTTTAGTCACGACTTTTTCCATTTCACGTGACGACATCTATAAAAAAAAATTAAAAAGTAAAACTTTTTTAAACAAAGAAAAGTATCCAAAACTTACTAAAATGTCTCTTCCCCTATTTACATACATTCTCGCCACCGTATGTACCCTTTTCTACTCACTTGTGATGGCTGCGTGGTGTCAATGTCATTTAACGGTATGTGTTTGTAGGCGGCATGTGTAGATGACAACGATATCTTGCCAGCATCTAGCGGAGACGTTGGCGGTGGCGATGGTGTCGTTGAATGTGCAGAGTTTGATGAAAACACAGCTGAATTGGGTGATGTTGAAACGACGCCGTCAGGTTGAGTGGGCGGTGTTGTGGCGGTCATTCTTGACGGTGTTGCAATCGCATCGACTAAGCGCATAAAATTATAAGTGCATGGAGTTAAAATTCATATATCTACATATGTATTTAAGTGGTTTATGCGAAGCATTTTGGCATTCGCTAACTCACCTGGTTTAGGCGGCAGTTCAGGTGGTGCAACTTCGTTTCTGCGAAATATGGCGCTATTCGCCGGTATGTTCTGATATTTGGGCTGGCTCTTTGGTGGCGGTGTGGGGGCTGTTGTCACGATTTGTACTTTTGGAAATTGTCTGTCGATGAGTAGATGAGGCGTGGATGTTTGTTCCCTTAACCGAGATTCGTTTGTGTTGTTCGTTATATTGGGGGTATGCACCAAGCTGTTACTATTGTTCTGAGGCGTATTTGTGTGTTGGTGGTCTTGAGTGGCATAACCATTTAAGCCAAAAAACTTCGATTTAGCATCATTTAATGCTGCTTTCACCGCGGCTATACTCTGACTGGCTTCGTTAAGTTCCGATTGCGAGTGCTGACTAAGCGGTCTCTGTGCTGCACTTGCATTCCGAGCCGCTGCTGCAGCCGGCGCCGTTGGCGTGGCCGTAGTTGCAATTGGCGTTAGAGCTGGCATTGCAATTGACGTGTTCGCTTGCGCTTGTGTTGTTGATCGATGATTATTGCTGTTAGTGTGGTAGTTGTTATTGCTGCCGCTGTTTAATACTGGTGTTGTATTTATTGCAAATCGCAGTGTTGGTGTGGTCTGGTCAGTGAAGTTTGACGTCGCCACCGATTGCTTTGCCGGCTGACTTAAGCACGGAAGCGTTGATTGCTGCTGTAAAAGCGGTTGTTGTGACTCTCGATTTGTTAGCTGTTTATTGTCATTAAACTTGAATGCGATCTCGGCGTAAATGGGTGAGCTTGTTGCTCTATTCGCTGCGTTAGTTCCTGTTGGTTTTGTTGCTGCACCGCGTGCTGTTAATGGTGGTAATGGTGACGCAGTTGGCGCTGCTACTGTATTAACACTTTTCACTGCTTTCGGTGTGCTTGTGTGTATGCTAGTCGGCGGTGTTTTTAAATTGTCGTAGACACTCACTGGCCTGTCGTCATACACTTCCATATTGGGCTGAGTGTATGATCGTATTGGCCCGTTTTGTCAGGTTCCCATGAAACCTTCCGCATACATCTAAGCTCATATATATTTTCCGTTTTTCGTGTTTTTTGATGTTTAGGTATGAAAATTATCTCAGCTCATTGGCGTGCACTGAGGTATGAAGCTCAAAACAATTGCATGTGTGTGGAGCGAATGCTGGAATGTGGAAGTAATACAAAGCGATTAAATTGATAATACTGTTTTTGTGAAAGCATGAATTATAATAAATAATATGATTTTCCTAAAAAAACACGCAATGACACAAAGTTTCAAGCACACGCACACACTTGCTACTGGCATAACACAATTTTCTAGTTAGTTCCGCTTGAAGTGAACGATCTAAGTACATACATACATATGTATGTATTTTTGTATTAATGTTGGTCTGCGTGCTGAAGTTTTTAGCTTAACACCAAAACTCATAACAATTAAGAAGACTTTTAATGCTTTATAGGTCGAACATTTTTATGAAAATGTTCCTTTATAAAGCTCTTTAAATCTGATTTATTTTTTATGAATAATCCCATGCATCAAGCTTTCTCTCTCTGCCCATCGCTGATGTAGATCTAGCGTATATTAAGCGTTAATCACCAAAAAAATTTAAGCGAAATTTTTTTAAATTGTCTTCAATGCAGAAAGGCATCGCTATAGGTGATGCCATAAACCTTAATATATATAGGTGGCTCCGAACTTAAAAGGGGAATTGAATGATAAGTATCCTCCACTTAATTCTCCCCAATCACTGCATCGTATATCAAGCGGAACTGTTGGCCTTCCGTGAGACAGCACGAAGCTTCGTTCAAATATCTACAGTGAGGAATGCCAGTCTGTATGTTTTATGACGGTCTTTCGACTATAAATGATGCAGATCACTGAACGAGATGTTCCAGCTATATAGAACTCAAATAATGGGTCTCTGCCCATTGACGAATTATCAAGAAAAGCCACAACTTGCTATGAGGAAAGAACACGATAGATGTGCCGATTGCAAAGTTTTAACCGTTTGATAGAGATCACATCGCTCTTGTGACCATAGAACGGTGAAACAATCGTCCGTTCTGCGAAATCTCAAGGATTACCATTCATTTCTATGACAGGAAAGGCACTTTCTTGCTCTTAAGTTCAACAGAGAAGAAATGTTCTTCTTTGTAAGAACTCTTGCAGGCCACTGCTCAAGGTTGGACACACGCGACCGTTATCGTAGTTGCAAAAACATAGAAGAAGAAGAAGATGTACTAAATCTTGTATGACCTTTCCCGGATTTAAATTTTTCTGACTCAACCATTTCAATTCCGATTATCACTTCACTGCCCTGTATTTTGCAACGCGCGCCTAAGCAGAGTTAATATATCAGGCAGGGCTGTAAATGGCTCGAAAAATTACCGGTGTTCGGTTCAGAGGTTCGAGCCTCTTAGAAAAATCTGGTACCGGTACAAGAACCGGTTCATGAGTAACTGTGAACCGCGGTTCGGTTTCGTTTAAATAATTAAATTTTTGAAATATATACTAAGTGTTATTGAGAACAAATTCATATACTTTGCTTTGTTAATTGATAATAATAACTAGATTTGCGCTTACACATATGTAAGTGTTTGGCCGAGCTTCTCCGATTTATGGCATGAGCTTTAATTACAAAAATTATTCTTTCAAGGAACTTTTGATAAGGAATAGGTAAAAGCATATATCAATTCGTTGATTCGGAATTATCTCGGGAATTAACTTGAGTTGATCTGAATTAAGTTCTACATCTAAAAGCTTAAACAGACGGTAGCGTTGATCCGGACTAACTCGGACTTAATCCGGATCAACTGCAGTTAATTCCCGAGTTGATCCGGATCAATGCTGCCGTCTGTTTTTGCTTTAATCCTCAAAATTAATACTGATCAGGGGAATTTTCGATGACAATGCTGGCCAAAATGGCCAGCTTTCGTCTATTGCTCAAGTAAGCAGGTTTGGCATCCGCGATGGTGAGAGCTGCGTACTATAATTCCCTAGGTCTCAGGTTCTATCCCCGGTTCGAGCGATTGCTGAGAATATATATTTTTTTATTATTTATTATTATGTTATATGATTTATGTATGTGTTTTATTCTACTTTGATTTGTTTTATTTTAATTTATTTAATTTAATTTTAGCTTAAAGTATGGTCACAAGAAATTAATAAGATACACATCATTTAAATTATAAAGAATATGACAATATCAGTGTCAAATAAAAGGCAATCGAAAGTATTTTACAATCATATTTTTACATTTTTCCAATATTCACATAAAAAGTCTTAAGTTTGTTTCTTTATAATAACATTTTTGTTTCGTTGAAACTCGAATTGCATTTCAGAAAAAAATTAGTTTTAAAATTATATGTAACTATTTAAAAATAGTTCAGAGCATTTAGTATTAAACTTTCAAACTATTTTTTAATGTGATGGAATCTGGAGTCCTTTACTCAATTAGGTTTATAAAAAAAAAATTTGGTTGGGAAAAAACTGGAGTCAAAAGCGTTAGTTTGTGGTAAGTATCAGTTTAATTATATAATTCAGCGTGCAGCAGATTCATCTCATCAGGCTGAAGTTTTTTTTTTACTGCCTTTTCTTTGTAAACTTAATTCAGATATTACCGGATCTAATCACGGCAAAAACAGTTTAAAATGCCGAAATAAATCTAAATTACTTATTTTGTCATTTTAAATTTATAACTTTCCGTTTGACAAACATCCATCTACTATCTATATATTATCTATATATATAAACTTAAATGTTTTTGCTCCGAAACCGATAACGCAACATTGGATTCGTCATTTGAATTAAAAAAAAATCTGATATCACATTCGAAATCAGCGATCTCGAAAATTCCTTATTATATAAGTTTGTGGAGAAAAGGAAAAAATTATAAAATCTGGTAGCCATATTGGATCCGCCATTTTAAATTCCAAAAATCTTGCATGGGATTCGAAATCAGCGAACTCGAAGGGGTTCTCCAACCCAATTTGGTTACTTCTGGACTTTTGACCAGCAAATGATAGTCGCCAGACCATAGTGCAGTGGTACAAACACAAATGAAATTTTGTATTTTTCCATTAAAAAAAATGTACTACTAAAACCCTAAAAAATATAAAAAAAACTTTAAACAATTAACATCTTTAATTCATTAGGGTAGTTATCAGCGTTGCCACTAACAATTTTTTTCGCTACCAATTTTCTTCCCAAATCTGACCAAAATCGTTTACAACCTACCAAATAAATTTCAATTACAAAAAAACATTCTGAAAGCATAACATTCATTTATTTAAGAATAAAAGATTTGAATACAAAACTTTGTACATAAATTAAATAAAATAAATAAATTAAATTAATTAATTAATGAAATTCTTGCAAAACCTCGATGTTTAACACCTTACTAAATATATATCAACATAAGTTTTGGAAAAATTACAAAAAAATGTTGATTCGCTTATTTCATTAATAGAACCCACAAAAAAAATGAAGCGAATCGAAGACATGACATAATTATTTTTACGAAATCCGTCCGACTTAAAAAAAAATGGCTCATATGCAAAATGATGTTTGAAATATATCACTACATATTATAAAACAAAGTCACTTTTTCTGTCCCTATGTCCCCTTAAATGCTTAAATCTTGAAAACTAAGCAACGGATTTTGATGCGGTTTTTTTTAATAGATAGATTGGTTGAAGAGGAAGGTTTATGTCATTATAATGTGAAGAAATATATAAAGGGGGCGTGGCAATCGGACAAAATGTTGTAAAAACCCATAAATTTTTTGTTTACACAGCCATAAATCATAAAAGAATCCACCGATTAAAATGAAACTTACTTGAAGTTAAACTTTGAAATATTTACTTTCGTTCTGCATCAAAAAAAAATAGTTGATTCATATCTTATTTAACCAAAATTGTTTAAACAAAAGCAGCACTTTTTCCAAAAAAAGCTGTTTGTGTGTTTGTTCGCTGTCAACCGAATGAAACATTCGAAGTTATGCGGGAATCTCACCCCACCTCATTCATGTTGAATTAGATCGTATGGTGAAAGAACTCGGTACGTATGTATGTAAGTACATATGTACGACTCTCTCGCATGCCCCAGGAGGCACAGGAAAAACCTTATTAATCAATCTGCTTTTAAAAAAAGTGAGATCCACCGGAAAAATTGCGTTAGCTGTTGTTGCGTCATCCGGCATTGCCGCTACGCTTTTGGAAGGAGGCCGAACCGCACACTCTACATTCAAGCTCCCGCTGAAAATCGCCACCGATGATGATAACAGCGTCTGTAGTGTTTCTAAACAGAGCAATACAGGAAAATTGATGCGTGACTGCTCATTAATAGTCTGGGACGAAGCTACCATGTCAAACAAGACGTCTGTGGAAGCACTGAATAGGACAATGCGCGATTTGCGCAACAAAAATTCACCTATGGGTGGATGTACAATTCTGTTCTCAGGAGATTTCCGTCAAATCCTACCAGTTGTGACTCGAGCAACACGAGCTGACGAAATAAATGCTTCCCTAAAAAGGTCCAACCTTCGGTAACATGTCAATAAATTAGAGCTTAAAACTAATATGAGGGTTTCGTCATCTTTACGTGAGAACAGGCTATTTCCAGAGATGCTGCTAAAAGTTGGCAATGGAGAATTTACACAAAGTGAGGGAAGGATTAACCTAGAAAACCTTTGTGTTTTGATAGACAACATCCAAGAGTTAGTCAACAATGTCTATCCTGACATTGATAACATAAGTTATAAGACAATATCTTGGTTTAAAGAAAGAGCTATTCTGTCACCAACTAACGAACAAGTAGATAAAGTAAATAACTTGATTCTTTCAAAGGTTAATGCGCCGACGAAAATATACTACTCGGTCGATACTGTTCTCGATTTGGAAGAAGCTGTTCATTTTCCTACAGAATTTCTAAACTCTTTGAACCCGTCTGGACTCCCTCCTCACAAAATGGTG